TGGGTAATTATCAGGGCATGTGACACTAAGATACAACTTTCAAAAAGGTAGAATTTCAACTGTTATGCAAATATGAAGTGAAACTTAACAAAGATTGTGTTCTACTCATCAGTGAGAGAACCAGCATGGTGTTTAGGCCAGTTTAAAAAGCGCTTGAGGAATTAGATATTTACAGATAATTTAATGTTAGGATAAGATTGATGGGCTACTTACAAAACTAGTTAATGTCTTCCAGTACAGTAAACCCTAACATTTGGGGTTATCTTTTTTGAAAGGGCAGAAATTGTTTATGTCTCTATTGGACCAAGATCTGCAAGTTAACATGTTACTTCACCAAGTCCTGGAGCTGAACAAAGTAAATTTCTCTAGATAATCCCGTGGGGATGAGGAGAGTCAGTGTCATATTGCCTCCATATGACATTGAATGTGCCACTCACCTTTCTGCCTTATGTCTGAGTTGTAAATACTTTTTTGGAGGGATGGGGGGACAAGATGGAGTACAGTGTCTTTTCATAGCTCACTGCAGCCTTAAACTGCGGAGCTCAAGCAATCCTCCAGCCTCAGCCTCTCAAGTAAGCTGGAACTACAGGCACATACAGCCACACCTAGTTTTTTGTTTGTTTTCTTGTAGAGATGGAGGTCTCACTATATTTCACAGGCTGGTCTCAAGCTCCTGGCCTCAAGCAGCCCCTGTTCCTCAGCCTCCCAGAGTGCTGGGATTACAGGAATGAGCCACCACATCTAATAATTTTTTAACAATAGTAAATACTTATTTCAATTTACTACCTTTTAATGTTACATGATGCTTACAACAGCCCTATTGAGACAAAACAAAAATGAAAGGGCTGGGATAATTCATTTTTCAGAGGAGGAAACTGAGTTACTCCATGGGGAAGAGGCTGAGATGGAAGGAGAACCCCCATTTTCTAATTCCAAATCCCACGTTCATCCCTAAATTCTCTATTGTATTTTTTCTTTCACATTTTTCTTCCTCTCAACCCTACATTGTTCTTGGTGACATTTTTTTCACCTCTACGACTTCCCTCGGGGTTCATCTGAAGGGAAACGCTTAAGTAAAGAGGAGTCCCAGCATTGCCCCTGCTCCTTGCATCCCCAGGGGTCTCCTGGTTTAAGTCCGTTTAAGTCCCTGCCACCATTCAGTTTCTCGATAATATCAGATGAACCACATCCTACTAAACCGAGCCAAAGAAAATCATCAAAACATTTCTTCCTTTTCTCAGGAGAAAGGACAGATTATATGTTGCATTCCAAGAAACCTTTTTTTAAGTGATGGTTTCTTTTAAACTCTTCTATTCTCAGCTACTGTGAGACACAGAGCCCACATCAGAAAAACCTACTGTTTATAAACTAGAGTATCTCACTTGGAACTGTGGCTGACTGATGTTTTCCCCTCCTCAGTAAACGAGATTGTTCTGTGTTGAAGATAGGGGGGTCTGTCTGGCTCCTGGATGAATGGCATGCAGTGCACAAATGACTATTTATTGCATTAAATAGTCAGCCAGGAAACTAGCTGCAAGTGTGGCCTGATGACCTGAATCAATTTCTTCCTTGCAAGGCCATTTATTTTTCTCTCCCACATACTTCTGTTGCCATGGAAACCATCCCACTAGCAGATGGAGACCAGGGCCAACTCTCTGCTTCCTGAACCTCCGTTTAGTTTAGTGTCCTGGCCCAACCAGGCCAGATCGCCTGCGTCTTCACTTGCCTGACTGCATGGGGCTTTCTTTGTGCTTGTTGAGATTTTTAACTTGGGTTCTCTTTAGGTGATGGGTAGCAGAGCACCGTGAGGGCAAAGGGCTAGGAATGGCCTCGCTTAATTAGTTAATCACTAAGTGTGGGACATGAGTGAGCACATTTTGTTTTTACGTTTTGTAGAAAAACCTAGTCAGAGAGGCAACTTTTTTTATAAGTCAAAAAAAGGAGAGAATAAGAAAGTATAGGGGTGTGTCATTAGAAAAATAGTTCCTCTGAAGTTTCCTAGTATTTTGAAGCTAGAAAAAAAAAATGCATTGAGAACATCTAATTTGGTGTCTCTCAAACCTTTTTTTGTAAGATGTAATTGATGACAACAACAACAACAAATGCTGAATGCATAATAAATGTGTGCCAAGCCGTTTTCAGGCAGCATCCCACTTAACCTCCTGGTAACCCTGTGAGGCAGGTTGCATTCCCATCATCCCTGTGACACAGGTCAGGAGCCTGGAACTCAGTGAGCCTATTTGCCCAAGTACAGTGGAGGAAAGGGGAAAACCTGGGACTAAAACTCAGGACTAAAGCCTGGGCCTTCAAACCCAAAAGGGCTGCTTGCTCTCTCCTTCTCTTCTTGCTTCTAGCGTAGGCTGACCTGTTAAAGGCTCAGGACCCTCTACACATCCAGTGCCTGCCATTTGTATTTGATCAGGTAATTCTCTCTCCCACTCCCAACCAGGAACCGCTTTATAACATCTCACAAAATGAGGATCCTGCAGAACAGAATGTGGGCAACCCCAGTGCAGTCCAGTTCCTTTTGTTTTCAGAGGAGATGCTTTAGGCTGGGCAAGGAAATGACTTGTCTCCAGTTACACAGCTAATAAATGCCAGAGTTGGCACCCAAAGGCCAGACCCCTGCATCGCAGGCCAGTACTCTGCTCTGCTGGTTACCTACGTCACTATTTCTAAACCAAATCCTGAGTCTGCAGACAGACTGCAGCTCCACTCCACTCTCCAAGCCAAGCATCAGAACTTATCCCCTTGTAGAATGAGGGTTAATTCAACTTCTCAGAAGAACAATAACACTGAAGTGTGCAGGGTGCTTTGCCACTTGGAAATGCTTTCACCTATCTCTCCAGTTTCCAGGCCTCCGGATATATTTGAAATGGCCCAACAACGAAGCCTTATTCACCAATTGTATACCTCCCAAAATAAACTTTGAATGACTCCAATATTAAGTGTGTAAAGATCACTGCATTTCAATTAGGAGAACTGAAGGTATCAAGAAGGAGAGGTGGAATTGAGCAAGGTTATATGCCAGTGGCTTTAGGGACCAAAGTCCTGCCTGTGAATGAAAGCTCTTCAGCTTAGGAGAATGAGTTAGGAGTAGGTGTGTTTTAATTTTCACTTTTCATTGAAAATTCATTGAATAGGCCTAAATATAAACATGCTTCCCTCTACACGCCACATATGTGCAACATGGCTCTCACTCCCTGAAGCTGTAAATATGTATTGAACAAGGTGACAGAGTGTGTGGGGACATGGTGTAAACAGCAGTCACCAAATAAGAGGCATGGAGTGAAACATTATTGTGGGAAGATTTGGTACACAAGAGAGGTACTGTGAAGGACAGCTGTCTCTTTCTATATCTGTGAATTCTACCACTGGCAATGAGGATGGCTTCACAAATTTCACTGCTTGTTTTTTCCCTTAAATGCAAAGAGAGTAGACCAGTAGCATCCAAAGAACATGCTCAGATTGCACAACCTACTCATCATGCCTTCCACACCTTTTTCACTTCACACATTTTCTTCCTTCTGCTAGGCATCTCCTTCCCCTTTTCTGCCTGTCTATCTTGCACAGCCCAAATCCAAAGTCACCTCCTGTAAGAAGAAGTCACCTGCTGTAAGAAGAAGTCACCTGCTTTGATAAACTCATATTTCCCACATGAGTTTATTAACACCTTCCTCTGTGCTTCTAAAATCTGTGGCAAATAAGAAGTTACCATTTCTAGTGCCTAATGCAGTCCTGCATGTTACATATATTATCTCTGTACCCACTTGGCAGGTAAGGAAACTGAGGCTCAGTATGTCCAAGGCCATACAGCCAATAAGTTGAAAAGCTCAATTTGGAACCCAAGTCTCTCAGACTCCAAAGTCCAGGCCTTTTTTTACTATACAACAGGCAGCTTCCCTTACCTCTGACTTACCCCTTACGGGAGCAGGAGATGAATGTGTTTTCCTCTCCATATTTCCCTAGCTAACTGTGAGTTCCACAAGAGCACACCTGAGTCTTATATTGTATTCCTGTGCCTGGTACATAGTAGATGCTAAATAAATGGTATGTTTGTTGGATAAGATGCTTAACCCTTTACATTACTAGTTGATTGAGCCCTGCTTATGATGAAATCATAATGAAGTACATCCCTGTACCAAGTTGTTCCCAACCCCAACCCCAATGGAGAGTTGGGTAAGTTTCTCAGCCAGCAGATTCATATTATTAACCCACTTCTTCTCCGATGCTAATGTAATGCAGATCTTCTGCGAATTTTGTTAAAGTGCAGATTCTGATTCAAACAGGCTGGAGTGGGGCCTGAGGGTCTGTATTTCTGGCAAGCTCCCAGGTAATGCTTCTGGTTTGAAGATGCCATCTAGACACATCAGCAGCAGCAGCCAATGCACTTTTGGTACCTTTGACCGGTAACAAGTAATAAAACCTGTCTCATACACTGTTCTCCTTCCAAAGGAGATTTTAAGTGCTCATGTGATTTTTCAATGTTTTAGGAAAATATTTAAGTTATGCTTCGAGCTATAAACATTTGGCTGCATGCACATTTGTTTTTGCCTGTAGCTTTGGTTTAATCACACTCTATCAGTAAATCACAAATAAATGAGAAAAAAGAGACACTCACTGGAGATTCCATTCCAGCGACATGTAGATCAGGAGAGTGGGTGAGGGTGGGGGATAGAGCAGATAGATGGTCACTCACAGCAGGCTGTTTCCAACCAGTCTTGATGTTTAGGGACAGCACTGCAGGCTGGGAAAGGATGCTCATTGTATTCTTGCTGGGAAGAGCCCCACCCATCCACACTTGCCTACTCTCTGGCCCCATTCCATGTTCCCGTTTGGACTTCTCACTTCCTGGTAAACAGTTTGTGATGGCTTATTGATCTCAAGCCCTTTGAACCCCACACAGTCCTTCTGCCAGCATGCCAAGTCTTTTAGAGGTCAAGCATCTCCGGTCCAAGATGTTTAGAAGGAAAACGCCCTCTTTTCTGTTCCTTTTCCAGATGTCCCTGGGCCAGCTGCAGTCAGCAAGAGGTGTGGCATGTTTGGGATGCAAGGGGACGTGTTCAGGCTTCGAGCCACATTCATGGAGGTAACAGATTTTGTCAGGAGGGTCCCTGTCTGCCTTTGTTACTTGGCTATACTCTCGGGGAACCGTGGTTGCTTTCTCCGCTGGGACTGCTTTGGTTGTATGCATTGTCAGGGAAGGATGGCTACAGAGCGAAGGCACTCCTGCTTGGTCCAATTCAGAAACATGAAAAAAGTCCTTGGCGGGGAGAGAAAAGATCTGAAGAAGGAGGTTAGCACTTCCTAAACCATTTCAAGGTAGAGTCCACCAAGCCCAGCTCAGCAAGAATTGCTCTGGGAAGACCTGGGTGCTTGTCCCTGGTGCATTTGGGGTATGCGTTGGGGTTTGGTGGATGGGGTTGATCTCTCCCCACTGCACTGTCATTGCTGTTGATGTGTTTTGGTCTAGAGTGGCCCCTGGGACAGAAAGAGAGGTCATTCTGTCAACAGTACTTAAAAGCCAGGTATTCATTCATATCTGCATGAGAGGACCGTAAGATCCAGCTAGACTTGGCTTTCCAGAGATTTTCTTTCTCTTTTTCCACTGAGGATTCTGAGGACAAGAGTGAGGCTGCCACATTGCACAGTCATCGGGCGGCATTCATGTCAGCATCTATGTGGGCAGCACCTCTGGAGTTGTGCAGAGAATAGACCGTGAGACTGTCCCTGCAGCCCTGGGAGAGGAAGGTTAAGCTCTGTGGAGGACACAAAGAAAGAGTTTTTATCATCACTGCTATAGTGTTGCCTTGGGCACTCAGTGGGGAACAAAGTTTGGAAGGTGTTTTTGCAGCAATACTGACTTCCTTTGCGAGATGGAAATTGTAAAAATAACTACTTACTCATGAACTGAGTGAAATCTTTTTTATTTAAACGTTGAAATAACCCTAAGAAGTAGGTATTACCATCTCCATTGTGTTGATCAGGACATTGAAGGCAGGCAATGGGGAAATGACTACCAAATGATAGGATTTGAATTCAGATCTACATGAATCCCAGTCCCATGCTTCTAACCATTCTGCAGTACACTGGGCTGAGCTTTCAGGGCAGAACACCATTCCCTGACTCCATTCCCTGACAGTTCTGAACCTCAGAGGAGCTCACATGGTCTTCTGGCTGCAAGGGACCTTCAAGGTCACCCGATTCAGGCTTCTATCCCCTGCAAAAATTCCTTCTGTAATTTAAACACTCCTAGGAGGAGTTCTCCACACTTTTATTTTGGCCATTTGAGCTCTTTCTGGCCTTGAAAGAAGGTCAACTTCCTTATCATTTCAACCCCACTGGTCCTGAATCTTCCCCTAGAATCTCAGGACAGCGTCGATTCCTCTTCAGCTCTTGGAAGACAGCTAGGATATCTCCTTTTAGACTTCTTGAGCCAGGGGAAAATGTTATGTAAATGCACCCACCAAGTCAATTCAGTCCGTTTCCCCTTCTCTCAAGGATCACAGCCCTGTGCTCCCTGCTGTCCAACATCTGAAAATGGTCATTTAGTGTATTTTTTCTGGTTTTCCACTTGTTTAAGAAGCAAGGACAATTCTGGACCCTGTTTCTCGTGGCTGCAAGCAGAAGTCTCTTAATATTGTTTTAATCACTCCATTTCCTGTCATCGTACAAATGATTTGAACATCAAGTGATTTGTCTTTGAGAAATACAGATTGAAGCTTGTAGCTCCTGCATATCAGCTGTCATCCTTGGTTGGAAGAATCCAGATAGGGACTTAAATTAGACTCAGATTGAAGCAGTAACATCAAAGAAGCTTAGGAGGAAATCCCATTATACCCTTTTATGCTCCAGGTTTTAAACTCTCAATTGTTTGAAAGACATTTAAATGACCAAAGTGCCAACCAACGTGGTTTAAAAGGAAAGCCCCTCAACTAATCATCACAGGACAGAATTCAGTCCCAGGTTACCAATGACAGATTGCAGAAATGGCCATTTTCATGCCGCTGAGGATATTTTGGGGTAGGTCTGTGTCCTCTACAATCTGAGCACCTAGAAAGAATAGGGTGGGGTGAGAGGGGTGTATTCCTCATGTATAAAGTCCCAGCAACATGCCCGGTCACGTGAAGAGTGTGAATAAAAGGGGAAATTGTGTTTATACCATTTCAAGGAACATCTCAGATCTGTTAGCCTTTGTTTTTGTTTTGTTTTAAATGTTTTACATTATCAGGCTCTCTAATTAGCATCCTGAATTCCACGTTAACTGAAAAAGCAATGGGCAGCCTCCTCATTCAGTTCTATTTATGGAAAGGGAGGTCAGAAGGTCAGATGGGACACTGAAGAGTCAGGTTCCTCTGTGTCCCTCCATGCCAGGATTTACTTTGCTTTCTGCCTCTTCCTACTCCTTCCACTTCCAGTCCTGCTGTTCGCACTCCCCACCTGTCAACCACTGATAGGGCCTATTGCCTGTCTTCTTAAAGAACCAGACTCCTCATGCCTGGTGCTTAAAAGGGATAAGCAAGAGAATATTATTGATTGTGAATAAAATGCAAAACAAAGCAACCCATTTTTTAGAAGGAAAACCTTCTCATTTATGCTTTGCAGCACCCTTAGGGTCATTTTCTCTTTTTTGTTACTAGAACGCATCCTTGAGATTGTCGATTTTAACATTTGTCAAACTGCAGCCCACTGAATGTGAACTTATACTGCGAACTTTTTCAATAGCATTCCAAATGTCATGCTCCACACCAGTGTATCAAAGTCAAGGAGCAGCTTCGCATTCAAGAGGGGTGTTCAACCTCCCTTAGCCCACTGTTTTCCAAACTCACCACTAAGCACTGAGCCTTTTTTATGTGCCACATACTAACCTCCTGGAGAACTGCTCCAGGCCAGCAGAACTACCCCAGATTTTAGGCAACTTTTCTGCCCCAAACGTATTCTACTTTATGTAGTTTCCATCTGATTTTCTGTTCCTCCCCCATCCCAACTGTAAGCTCCTTAAAGGTCACAACAAGGCCTTCTTCTCTTCATATTCAATGAGGGGTTTTCAACCTCTTAGCACAGTTACATTCTGGGTCTCATAATTCTTTGTTGTTGGAGCTGTTCTGTGAAATGTAGAATGTTTAGCAGCATCCCTAGCCTCTACTCACCAGACACCAATACCACTCCCCTACCCTACTGGGACAATTGAAAATGTCTGCAGACATTGCTAATTCTTTCCAAGGAACGTTGCTAATTCTGTCCTTAGTTGAGAGCCACTAATGCAGACCATCAATGTATCCCCACAGTCAACATTTGTGATATTCGATCAGACGTATTTACCTCCTGAGTACAGGTGAGAAAAGGAGGGTTCCCTCAGCCTTGCCGATCATTCAGCTGCAGTGACCTCCCTTACTGGGCCTCCCTCATCCTTGCAGTTGGCCTTGACATTGCTCACTTTACTTAACAAGCTCTCAAGTTGCCTGCAGAGGAGCATCTGAGACCCAGCACAGCCTGCCTATGGAAACAGGCCAGCAAGAGAGGGGAGCGATTCTCCTCTCATGCCATAGAACTCTCTGGATTTCTAAACCTTAACAGCGTCCCACCAAGTAGCCACACATTTTTTTAACTGTCAAAGAGAAGCATAAGGCTTTTTAGTACATTTGAACCATCCACAGGATGTGTTTCCTTCTCCTGACAAAGCCTTCCCAAAAAACTTCTATCTCCCCACCCAGAGGGGTTTTCTCAGCTCACTCTCTCCCCGCTGGGTTCTGTTCACAAATTTCTTGAAGAAAATGTTCACTGTATTCTAATGTCAGTATGCATGCTAAAGAGTTTAAAAGTTGCTGAAGCTACAGGGCTGTGATCTGGGGAAACAATTTTAATAATTCTTTAGAGCAGGAGTTAGCAAATTTTTTTTGTAAAGGGAAAAAGTAAGTACATATTTTAAGCTTTGTGAGCCAGATGCTCTTTGTTGTAACTACTAACTCTGCTGTTGTTGCCTTAAATCAACCCCAGACAATATGTAAATGAATGGGCATAGCTGTGTTCCAATAAAACTTTAAGAGCAGATTGTGGGCCAGGTTTAGGCTATTGGCCATGTAGACTACAGCCCAGCTTTATGAATGAACATGGCTGTGTTCCAATAAAACTTTATTTACAAGAGCAGACTGTGGGCCGGGTTTAGGCTATGGGCCACACAGACTCCAGCCCAACTTTAGAGCATCTCTGATGAATGAATCAGCTTTTGTCATGGCAACTACCAGGAGGGAAAACATGCCACTCTTTTTACCAGCAAAAGTTATATCCTGTTCCTCAGTGATAGATTAATACAAAGACTGTCATTTCCCAAAGGCAGGTCCCAATTCCAAAGCCCTTTATGTCTCAGGTTACCATTTGTCTGCTTCTAACCTTTCTAACTTAAATTTTTTAGCTTGCTTTCAAAAGGGTAGAAGCTGCTAGCAGGAGAATCTGCCTCTCTTTCCTGAATGTTAATCTCACTCGTCCTCATCCACCCACCCCCAGGAAAATATGCAAGTCTTGCAAATGCAGCCAAGAGGACCACTGCCTAACTTCCGACCTAGAAGACGATCGGAAAATTGGCCGCTTGCTGATGGACTCCAAATATTCCACCCTCACTGCCCGGGTGAAAGGCGGGGATGGCATCCGGATTTACAAGAGGAATCGGATGATCATGACCAACCCTATTGCCACTGGGAAAGATCCCACTTTTGACACCATCACCTATGAGTGGGCTCCCCCTGGAGTCACCCAAAAGCTGGTAAGATAGCTTCCCCTAACCAAGCAGTCATTTTCCTATCCTTGTAAATACTAGCCATGTCAAGTGTTTCTGAACTTTAAACATGTGGTGGCAAGAGATCAAGGTCACAAAAATGGCAGGAGTGGCTGTGGTTTTAGCCCTGCCCTTATATCATGTGATGTTGAAATGAGGACTATCTGGGCTGCCGTTTTCCCTATCCATGAAATGGGTAGAGGTGTTCATATGGACCCTAAGAGGCCATGCAGCTCTAGTACAGAGGCATTCATTGTTCCCTTTGGGCTCCTCACTTCTGAACAAGAGATAGTTTATCACCCAAAATTCTGAGTGCTTGTCTCCATCTGCAAGATATTCATTTTCCCTCAAAGTAGCCCTGTACATGCCCTTTGCAAACCTGTAGGAGAGCAGAGAAACAGTTCTCTCTTCTGCCTAAATGCTGAAGCCTCTTGGTCTTAGAAGGGAGAGCTAAACTGGTTTTACGCAACCTTGAACAAAAACAACCAGATAAATCTTGAGTAAATGATCAGAGAGACCCTAAGGAGGGGAGAAAGGACACAGGTCCAGAGAGAGCAAGTGACTTACATAAGGTTACACCCTCGCCGCTCACTGGAATCCCTGGGATCTGCAGAAGGTCTCCCTGCCCAGGTCTCATCCCAGACCACTAAGTCAGAAGCTCTGACTACAGAATCTAACTCATCAGATGTGAGCATTTCATATGACTCCCTCTGCAGCCACCTTCAAGATCCAATGAACCAGACTGGGGCTCCTATAATCTCAACATGTGTAGAAATCATCTGGGGAGCTCATCAAAATGCATCCAGCAGGTTTAGGGCCATGCTGAGATTCTGCATGCCTCACACACTCCCAGGTGATGCTGATGCCACTGGTCCCCAGAACCCCACATGTGGAGTAACAAGAGGCTGGATGATTTATATAAGTTAATGAGATTTGTAGAAGGTTCAACAATTTTAAAAATGCAAGCATGGCATTTAGTTGAATATTTGCTGGAAGAAAAGGAGTGCCTTTGGAGCCCTTCATAGCCCTATCCTTCAGGCTCCCCCATGACTGCCATCACTGTGCTGTCACTCCCAACATCTCAACATCTCATGACACTCTGACTTCCTCCTTCCAGTGCTAGAACACACCAAGCTCTTGCCCTCTGTGGGGACTTAGCACTTGCTGCTCCTCTTTTTTGAAAGGTTCTTTTCTTGCTCTTCACATGGTTGGGCTCTTCCCAAATAGTCCTTCCCCAGATATTCAATTTACAATAGATGCCACCTGTCATCCTATCACATTTTTTCTTTCTTTTGGTTTCTTTAAAAACTGTTATTGCAAGTGCACCATCTTAGATCTGTGCCTAGATATGAGGGCAGACACCCTGCCTGTCCTGTCAACCATAACATCCCAGCACCCAGCACAGTGCAGGGTGTAGGATAGGTGTGACAAGTGTTAGTGTAATGTCACAGCCTTTTAAGCCAGAGATGCTCCAAGTATGGGCTGTGGACTGAAGCTGTTCCACACAGTCTTTGCAACCTGGACACAATGAGAAAAGTACAGACATTAAGAATATATGTTGGGAAAATGTTACAGCAATTTGACATCCAACCATGTGATGAAAGGAAAACTCATCTCATTGAACAGAATTCCACTGTGGTCAGACTCAAAATGAAATCTCGTGGGACATGCACTACATTCTAATCACATGAGAGAGACCACAAATCACTCTGCAGTGAGTGGAAAAACAAACAATCCTTCACCGTAGAGTTTGAGAGGCACGGTTCTAAGCTGTCGCCTTAAGCGGGGAGCATCCTTTCCAGATAAAGTGAAGAGAGGCTAAGATTCTTTTCTTAATCTTTCCTTTTAAAAAGGAAAACCGCATTTTAAAAGACTTCAGCATCCATGAACTCAATCATCCTGTAAGGCAGGAATTATTTTACATGTAAGGAAACACAGAATGGTTAATTGGCCTTCAAAAGTTTTTAGTGCTAGACAGGGGCTGGTCCCGGGCCACAGAGCGTGGCCACAGAACAACAGCAGAGCCACATGTTCAGTAGTTCAGAACTCAGATCTCCCTCCACCTCCAGGTCTGGGTAAGCTATCAAGCAGGTCTCCAGATGTCAGTGGAAACTAAAGCAAGCAGCTCATGAAAGAGCTGGCTGCTGTCTTCAGGGACCAGCTGGTGAAAATCCCAAACACATCGACCCCAGACTAATCAGGGTAAGGGATCAGCAGGCAGTGATTAATGCTGGCTCATAAAACCACACGGCTATAAAGAACCCCTCTGTCTGCTCTGCACCTGGGCATCTAGAGCAAGTCACTGAGATTGGACAACTCTTCCTTTCCACTCACCTTCCCAAGTTTTTTTAAATCACCAAATGATCAAGACTGATTATATTTTGGGAATGGGACTTGCTATCTCTCATCCTTTGCAACTAGAATGAAAACCTGAGCCTTTAAATGCTGATAACAATAAGCCTAATTGCGGACATTTGTTAAGTATTTACTGTGTATCAGCCACTGTGCAAGGAGCTTTCCATGCACAATCTCATCTAATTTTCCAGCATTGTTAGAAATATACTATTATTACCCTCATCTACAAAGAAGGAAACTGAGGCTCAGAGAGATGATGCAGTGATGCAGCTAGCTAAATATCCCACAGGTGATTTAAGTGACAGAGCCAGGTCTTGAGCTCAGATCACCCTGACTCCAAAGTTTGGGCTCTTCCCTACCAATCCAGGCTAGGCCAGGAAAACTGGCAGGTGTGCGGGGAGGCAGGAAGGAGCAGGTACCCTGGGTTGGCATTTTCAGGGAAGGCTATCATGAACAGAAGCGGCTTGAGTGTGTCTTTGAAAGCTAGCCAGGATTTGGGGGAAGGAAAGAGGGAGAAGACAAAGGAAGCCAGCATCCATTGAGCATTTGTCTATGTATCTCATGAACATCTCACCACTCCCTTTGTGCTGAGTATTTTACAGAGGAGCAGACAGAGGCCCGTGAGGAGCCAGCACAGGGGTGGCACTTACTCACACTTTGCCCTCTGCTTTCACACCCATGGCAGGCATTGCTGATCAGTCAGAGTGTTGTTTCTCATTGAGTCCTCATTGGCCCTCAGGACCCTTCCAAACACAGCACTCTAGGTCACCACTATGGACTGGGGTTGTCTTGTCAGATTAAGCCCATTTACTGTTCTTGGCTGACAGCAGAAAAATCAGGAAGAGAAAAATCAGAACAGGGTCTCCAGATTCCAGAGCCCATTTGTGTTTCACCGTCTATCCCCCAGGGTGTAGGAGCACCTTCCCTTCCACTTCGATTTGCATTTTTAGTTTCTTTCCTGATACAGACAGATTATTGGAACCTCTCCACCCAAGATGTTCCAATGAGGTTGCAGGGCACCAAATAACTCAGAAAGGTCCTCAGGAAAAACATAAAACCTAAACCAACCTTTCCAACTGGTCTGAGAAAATGCCTCTTGCTAAAGGTTACTTACAAAGGCATTTTCATGACAGCTCTCATGACATAGTCAGGTATCAGACGCAGGTAATATAACGCAGTCAGGTATCAGAGAGATACCTGGGAGATTCTCTTTCGGAGTCAGAGCAGTGCCGGGTGGTTGACTCCCACCCAAGCCTCTGTCCTTGTCACCCCCTTCCCAAGTCTATGCCAATCAATAGTTGTTGCCTGGAGGGCTGTGTGAAGGGGGATTTTGAGGGCTTGATTAGCAACGTTTGTGAATAGTGAGCAGTGGTGGGAGTCTCAGACCAGCCAGGCATCACAAAGTACACAGCAGTGGCAGCTGGATGCAGTGGCCTTGACAATGCAAAGGCAGAGAGCCGGCACCCAGCTGAAGCTTTTTTTTTTTTCTTTTTTCTTGAGACAGAGTCTCGCTCTGTCACCCAGGCTGGAGTGCAGTGTGGCAGGATCTGGGCTCACGGCAACCCTCGCCTCCTGAGTTCAAGCGATTCTCATGCCTCAGCTTCCCAGGTAGCTGGGTCTACAGACACATACCACCACGCTCAGCTAGTGTGTGTGTGTGTGTGTGTGTGTGTGTGTGTGTGTGTGTGTGTGTATTTTTAGTAGAGACAGTATTTTACCATGTTGGCCAGGCTGGTCTCAAACTCCTGACCACAAGCAATCTGCCTGCCTTGGCCTCCCAAAGTGCTTGGATTGCAGGTGTGAGTCACCGCACCCAGCCCCAGCTGGAGCTTTGAGCTGCAAAAGGAACACTGGGTCTCTGGGAAGGGAGACTCCCTTTCTCCAAGGCTCCAGCCAGGAAGCCCATTAGCCCTACATCCACAGACACCCAAAGCCAGTGCAGAGCTGTGAAAGGACATGGTGAACACAGGGGTCAGCAAGTAGCTGGCTATTGAGGCCGCTGCCCCAGGATCCCTAGCACAGTATTTACTATAAAGCTTAGAAGGAAGGGGTATAGGCCCTGGAAAGCCAGAGAAACAGACACATCCAGGGAATGGGGGATCCTGGTACCACTTGATGCTTAAATACCCCACTAACCCTAAAATAATGATTAAAAGGAAACACCTCCAGTGACTGGGGAACATTTTTCCTCTTTGAAAACATCCATCTTCTAGAGAGGCAGCAGAGAAGGGCTTGAGACTCATGTTGCTGGGTTCAAAGCTGTCTCTATCACACACTAACTGTGTGACCTTGGGGAGGTTACTTAACTTCTCTGTGCCTCTGTTTTCCAAGAGGTAACATTAGTACCTTCCTTGCAGGGTTGTTGTGAGAATTAATGGGTTGAAGTGTGTAGCACTTGGAGGAGTGCCTGGAGCATAGAAAGCCCTCCCTAATTGTTGGCGGTTCCTATCATCCCTTCAACTGCTGAACCTGGGAAAATCAGCAGTCTTCCTAGGAGGGGCAATTACTCTCCCATGAGCTGAATCAGCCTGGACAGGGCTGCTTCAGCACTTGGTGTTAATAAGATGCTGGCCAGGCCTGATACCCACTCTAGCAGAGTGAGCCACGCTCTTGTTTCCACTTGTCCAAAATCCTTCTTTAGATTCTGGAAGCCCTGGGCAAAAATAGGAAGGGGATAGTGTGAACAAAGTTGCCACCCAAGGCTACACCCTAACGCATCTCCACAGGACCCTGTGCCTGCCCAGCCTGCTGGCTGTCAGGCTGCCACTTCCCACTGTCTCTGTTGACCACATCCCCTTTCCCCACTGACTGCCCCCAGAGAAGCCCCAAGCCTGAGATGTCCTGTGTCAGAGCCACCCAGGAGAAACTGTAAAACTTCTAACTGATTGATGATTGATTTTGAGAGAGGGTTTGATGATTTTGAGACAGGGTCTCACTATGTTGCCCAGGCCAGACTGCAGTGGTGTGATCATAGCTCACTCTAACCTTGAGCTCCTGGGCTCAAGCGATCCTCCCACCTCAGCCACTAAAGTAGCCAGGTCTAAAGGCATGTGTCGCCACACCAGGCTGATTTTTTAATTTTTGTAGAGATGAGGTCTCTCTGTTTCCCAGACTGTCCTCAAGCAATCCCCCGAAGCAGCAGGAGGACTAGACCTAAAACCCAGATTTCCTGACACTCCACCAACCAGGGCATCTCTAGTGTCTGAGGAAGCACCTTGAAAAGCATCCAGGAGTATGCAGACATACCTGGGATTAGCCAGGTATGCTCTGAGCCTACAGTGCCAAAAAGTGTCTCCGACAGGTGTCCTCTGGGATCGAGGGCAGAGCCACCAATGGGGCATTAGCAGCCACCCCACAATCTGAGTCTCACAGGAGCTCAGGTCACCTGCCTCTGCCTTTTCTATGCTGTTTCCCAGAATTTATTTACTATGAACCCCAGCAGGTACCAAGCTCTGGTCTTCTACTCCCCGCCTACAACAATCCCAGCTTCTTCACCCCTGCTTCCTAAAATCAGACAGTGGGACTGTACAATATGAATTTCAGTATGAATTTCCATGTTCACTCCCATAATTCCCAAAAGAGTCCATCCCCAAGTGATAAGCTATGGGGCAGATGGGCTCTAAGAGGATAAACCTAGCAGCGACCACCTGGGTGATGGGAATCAGGAGACCTGGTGCTAAGGTTCCGAGTCAGGGTCAGGCACAGAAATGGAAAACGGTTGTCCAGGATAATCAATTTGCCTCTCACAGTTTCTCAGGCTGTGGCCCTGACTTTTGTCTTCCCCTAATCTCCTCATCTCTGAGCCTCACCCAAGTGTAAGATTTCAGTTCAATAAAAACAAATATATAAATGAAGCCAAATTGGACAGTTACCTGTGAACACATTAATATTCAGACAGTTACCAGTCATATTGAGGCGGAAATGTGACTGAACTGAGACCTTGTCAATTCTATTAGAAGTTGCCTTTGCATATTTTTAAATTAATAAACCAAGAAATACCTTATGTTCATCATTATTTAATTATACTTTTCTAAGAAAAAGCAACTTCAAACAAGGTTGACTTTTTTTTTTAATTAGGAATGTTGCCCAGGAGGGAAATGATGTAAAAAGATTCAGTTTTGAGGAAAACAAAATTCATGTTGCAAAGCCAGCAAATCTAAAATGAACATCTACTTAAATTACACCATTCTGATCAAGAATGTGAATCTCTGACTATAACGTGGAGCAGAGTAAGAGCTCATTTAGGCCTCTCTCAGGTGTTAGCAAAATTCACATTTCTTCCTTGAGAATCCTTAAGTCTTACAAAAGCCTAAAGCAGCTAGGAATAGTCCACCAGCCTTTCCTCAGATCTCTGTCCGGTGCCTGAGAATCCCAGTTGTTTATTTCACTCATTTGTTTGTTTGCCAGTATTTCATTGAAACAGTAGTTCAAGTAAGATCCAGGAGCCAACTTCTTGCATTAGAGGTACCAGGATTCTTGTTAAAAATGCAGATTCCTATACCCCACACCTTACCTACTAGATGGAGATCTTGAGTGGGGCTTGGTTCCTAGGAATCTGCATGTTAGTAATTTTTCACATGGTTATTGTACACTGTGTTCATTGAGAGACACTGTTTTGACACATGTAGCTGGTAAGTCTAAATGCAGTCAGAGATTTGAAAAGAGAAAAGCCACAGGTAGAAAAGCAAAGAGAAGAGAAAATCAGAAGCATGTAGATCGGGGTGTGCAATCTTTTAGCTCCTCTGGAAGAATAATAATTGTTTTGGACCCACATAAAATACACTATCACTAACCACAGCTGATGAGCTTTAAAAAAAATCACAGAAAAATATCATAATGTTTTAAGAAAGTTTACAAATTTCTGTTGAGATACATTCAAGGCTATCCTGGGCCACACGTGGCCCATGGGCCATGGTTGGACCAGCTTGGTACGTGCTGTGGTTCTGTTAAGTAATCCTACAGCCACTCTAGGGTTACCATCCTCATTTTTATAGCTGAAGAACCTGTGCAGAGAGAAGGCATGACATGGCTGCAGTCACACCACCAGCATGCCTACAACAAGGATTTCAGTTCAGGACAAGCTAATTCCAGAGCCTTTGCTCTAGCTACTACAGTAGAAGGAATATGGCCTGTCCTCAGGGAGTGGACAGTCCCACTAGAGGGTCAGCTCAGATACACTAGGGATGGTTAAGGACTAGGGAGAGACCAAAGCATGCAATGCTGCTTGTAAGAATAGGAAAGACGAGAGAGGGCTTTTCCTTCTCAGGGGAGTAATTCCATGAGTGAAGGTAGAAATCAGTCCCATCAATTGTGGGGCCAGTGAGAAGAGAGCGCCGAGTGGAACACAGGTTCCATGAGGGCAGCCAGCTGGCATTACTTCTGTCACTATACTGTAAGAGTTTTATCAATTGGCTACCATCTAGTAAATGACAGTAGAGAAGAGGTTTAAAAGCAGCAACTTTTCTCTGGGGATAGAGGCAAACTAGTAGTTGTAACTATTACCATTAATTGCAAGTCAGAGAACAAAGCAAAATGAGCTTTATTCAAATTCTGTTGGAAAACCTAGCCCATGAGTAAATGTAGGCTCCTTTCTCTTTTCAGTCCCACTCAAAATTGGTAACACAGTATTTCTTGGAGAATAAGTGTTAAAATAATAATTATTGTTATTAACAAGTAGAGAGTTACTTACTTATCAGATAGAGCACACATTAGCAGATGCAAACAAGTGTCTCTCTCTCACATGCAAGATTGTTCTCTGTTCCACACCACAACAGGGGCTGGCGCAGTCACAGGAGAAGCAGAATCCACTGACCAAGGACTCATTTTAAATAGTATAAACACAGAAAATAGCATTTAAGTAGATCAAGTACAACCCTGCTTATTATTTGTTCTAGGCAGAAAGAAGACTGAGTGCCCTTATTTAATAAATATACGTAGAAAATAGTCTGGAAAGATAAACACAAAGTTGCTGGCAAACTGTTACCATGAGCCAATAAGGTGTAAGTTTTGTAAATGCTTTTTAAAACAAAGGACAGTATACTCCACTTAATGCTGGGGTTTTGTTCTGAGAAATGTGTCCTTAGGTGATATTGTCTTTGTGTGAACATCAAAGAATGCACTTACACAAACTGAGATGGTGTAGCCTAGTACGCATCTAGGTTACACAGTATAGCCTATTGCTCCTAGGACGCAAATTGTACAGCATGTGACTGCACTGAATACTATAGGCAATTGTAACACAATGGTCGGTCAGCATTTGCATGTATAAACATATCTAAACCTAGAAAAGGTACAGTAAAAATAGAGCATTATAATCTTATGGGACCACTGTGGTATATGCGGCCCATCATTGACTGAAATGCCGTCATGTAGCACATGATCATACAGCATGTATATTGCAAAGTGCGTGCATCTAATGTGTACAGCTTGACAAGCTTTAACACAGATACACTTCCATGGCTCTAGCACCAAGATTGAGACATAGAACACTTCCTACCTACACATGGTACCTAAGACATATAGGTTTTTCCTTTACTAAAGTTTTTTCTCTCATCTGTGTTTTGTCACAATGGACAGTATTGCTTTTGTAATTTTTTTAAATTACAAAAGTAATTTAACTGTGTTAAGTTAAAAAAAATAAAGACTGTGGGTCTTTTAGTTGCTGAGAATGCTGGAAGAGAATGCATTTTTAGTTTTAGGTAGATTCTGTCATAGTTTCTTTGACTGATGAAGCCCCGCCAACCTCACATTGTCTCTTCCTCCTCCTCTTCCCTAGGGCCTGCAGTACATGGAGCTCATCCCCAAGGAGAAGCAGCCAGTGACAGGCACTGAGGGCGCCTATTACCGCCGCCGCCAGCTCATGCATCAACTCCCCATCTATGACCAGGATCCCTCACGCTGCCGTGGACTTTTGGAGAACGAGTTGAAACTGATGGAAGAATTTATCAAGCAATATAAGAGCGAAGCCCTGGGCGTGGGAGAAGTGGCCCTCCCGGGGCAAGGTGGCTTGCCCAAGGAGGAAGGGAAGCAACAAGAAAAGCCAGAGGGGGCAGAGAACATTGCCCCTACCACCAACGGCAGCCTCAGCGACCCATCCAAAGAAGTGGAATATGTAAGTTTCTCCCATGTCACCAACCAGGCTGAAACCCTGCAGGCCCGGGGCTGGACAATCAGGGCCCTGTCACGGGGCTTTGTTCCCTCATTCGTGCATTTATTCATGAATTCATGCATTCAGCAGATATTGGTTGCTCATTTACTCTGTGCCAGGCACTGTCCCATGGAAAACAATACAATACCACTGCCCTTGAAAGGTTCATAGTCCAGTGGAAGCCACAGGCAAAACTGACATGGTTTAGAGACAGGAAATCTAAGCCTGCTTGGTGATGAGGGTAAGCTTCAAGAAGTTGATGAGGTACAAGCTGGCCTCTGAAGAATGTTTAGGGGCCATTGAAACCTTCAAGCTTTGAGGGGAGGATGTGTACCCCCTTAAAGAGATGAGCATGTGCAAAAAGCTAGGAGTTCAAGAAAGCACAGTGTATTTAGAGGATTAAAAGAGTCCCACATGATTGAAAGTGTGGCATACTTGGGGAGCTGGGGACACAAGGCTGGGGAGGGCAGCAGAGGCTGGACTCCTAGAGAGTCCAGTCCATCCATCCACTCATCAATCAAATACTGATTAGCTTGTATTAGCTGCTATGCCCCAGGAAATCAAACAGGCAGAATATATTGTCCCCAAACTGCAGAATGCCATGAACTTAGAACTTTATTCCAAAGGCCACAGACAGGCTTTCGGTCAGAGGTATCACATGGTCCATGCTGTGCTTGCAAAAGTTTCCTCTAGCAGTGTCTTAGTCCATTTTCTGTTGCTTATAGCAGAATATATGAAACTGGATAATTTATGAAGAAAAGGAATGTATTTCATACACCTGTGGAGGCTGAGAAGTCCAAGGTCAAGGGGCTGCATCTGGTGAGGGCCTTCTTCCTGGTGGGCACTCTCTGCAGAGTCCCAATGTGGCTCAGGGCATCTCATGGCAAGGGGGCTGAGTGTCCTAACTCAGGTCTCTCTTCCTCTTCTTAGAAGCCAGTCCCACTCTCATAACAACCCATTAATCCATTAAGCCATGAGTGGATTAATTCATTCCTGAGGGCCCGCGCCCTCACCACCCAATCACCTCTTAAATGCCCCACTTCTCAACACTGTCACACAGAGGATTATGTTTCAACCTGAGTTTTCAGAGGGAATGTTCAACCCATAGGAAGTGGCAGTGAGGAGTGAGCCACCAGAGGCCATTTTGAGAAAAAAGAAAGGAGAAGCAGCCAGCGTTGGGTAGATGAAAGCCTCATGGCTTGGTTTGTCTTAAACTGCCCCACACAAGGCAAAAGGAATGCTTCCGACTAGACCACGTGGGTCTTGTGCGCACTGCGTTTCTGATCCTCAGCCCCTGTTTTACCTTTTGCTCCCCCTGCCCCATCAACCAAGTGTCCTCATTTGTTTCTATGGTAATTAACTTTTGGAGATAGAAGTCCCAGCACATGAGATCCCCAAGCACATTATCTACTTTGCTACAGGCTGGCAGGCAACCCAGGGAAATGCCAGCCCAAATGAAACTGCTGCCACATCCAGAGAGGGCCAGACTCTTTCTCCCTTGGAGTCACTCAAGCTAATCAACCAAAACTTGCATCTTCCATCTCCAAGCCCCATCTTGCTAGCACCATCTGGGATTGCCATCCAAGGAACTGTTTTATCTGAGAACCCTAAGACCAAAGAACAAGATTTATTTTTTCTGCTACAGATTTGGCAATGATGCATAAAAGTCCCATTTCTCAGGAAGAATACATGTCCTAGGGATATTTTTTTTTTAATTTGATCTGCTTACATGGCCTATAAACTGGTCTTCCCCACCCCACCCTGATCCTGCCTTCTATCCACCTTCAAATAGCTGTTTGTTCATAAACTCTAAATACTAGATCATTCCAAGTTGGAAGGGACCTCTAGGTCTTTGTAGCATTTTCAAATTGCCATTCCCAAGAGAGATGTGGATCTGACATCGTATTTTATTCTTGACTGAGCCTTGCATATTTGTTCAGCATGGAACAAAAGCAAATGCAGCCTGAGTACCCGGGCCCTTGCCTACAGTCAGCTTTACGAAATAATTGTGATACATGGGAAGCATTTAAATAGCAATACTAGATAGTACATGGCAAATGCCAAAGTTAGAAAATAAGTAGGGATTCCAAAGGAAGTCTTGTCCAATCAGGGCTGGGCTAGCTGTGGAAGACAGACTTCTATATCCCTGCCCCAACCACAATTTTAATTTAATAATTCTATAATTAATGAATTAATGTCTGTCACCCTCTGTAGATGTCGAGGTCTTGTTCATCTCTTTATTTGCAGTGGCTGCCATTGATATACGTAGCAGTTGCTCAATAAATATGTGATCCATGAATGGAAGTTTGAATTTAAGTCTTAAAAAATAGGATCTATTTGGATGGCTAATTTTCCCAGGATGGCGTGATTCCAATTCCACATTTATTAAGTCCCAGCTCTATGCCAAACACCATGTGCATACTGTCAGGATCTTTCTTTAATTCTCACAGTTGTCTGGTAAGGTGAATTTTACCAAACCCATTTTACAGTTGAGATTCAAGGATAATAGGTAACTTTTCCAAGATCCCATGGTTTCTATGGGGCAGAGCCTGGATCCAATACCCATTCTGTGATAAGATGCTAAGTTGTAAAATCCTGCTTGTTACTTGTTCCAGGCAGGAAGAAGACTGTGTGCCCTTACTTAACTCCCTTTTTATCTCCTTGAAGCAGGGGAGTAAATCCTGATAAGGGTAGCTAGATAGGCTGACAGGACACAGACAGTGTGTTCCCATCAACCCTGCCATTAGGGGTGGGTGTGCTCTGCACTCCCTGACCCGCCTGCCTTGCCTCACCAGCATTCACATCAAGTGGACGTGTGTGCTGGCTGCCCTGTGTGCTTGCGCCCTCTCCTTTCTCATAAAAGGGCAGCATAGAACAATTACCAGAGCCAAGCATCAGGCCAGAAGGCTGACTTCTGCTCCCCTGGTGAAGGGCAATGATTTTTGCAGGAAGTGGTCCAGGCATTCAACTTGAAAATAAAGGTGTGGGGAAGAAATTGTAGGACTCGGCCTGACACCCAAAACCTAACAGAGATTTATGGGAGAAAAATGAAGGGCAAAAAGAGAGACGTGAACATATAGGAACTGTATCGGTAACACCTGCCTGTTTATCATCTTAATTGTGTTCTTTGTGATTGTTGTTAGTATTGGCAAGTCCGTGGGCATTGCCTCAACCAAGGACAGGACTAAGCAAGTATCTGATTTAAAGCTTACAACTGCCCCAAGATGTGAAGTGGCTGTGCCTTCCCAGGCTGCTGGGCCTCAGAGCTGGGATTTAAACAATCATCTGCCTAAAATCAAGTCTATGTTCTTTCCCATTTCCCAAAGGTGATTCCTAGAAGAGCTACCAGGTATTTTGCTACAAAAGGATCATGTAGCTGCCTTAGGAGGCATTAGAGTGAACATGAAACTACATGGGTTTCTTTACAGCAGAACTTCTCAGAGCCTTTAGTAGGCCAGTGCTGCGGTTCTTAAACTAAAATCATCTGAAAGCCTTGTTAAACCCCAGAAGGCTGGGTCCCACTGCCAGAGCTTCTTATTAGTAGGTGTGGGGTGGAGTCTTCGCATGTGCATTGCTAACAAGTCCTGAGGTGATGCTGATGCTGGTCTGGGGCTACACTTGGAGGACCACTGTTAACAGTGTTAAAAAGTGCCTTAGATGTGAGCTCAGCAGAAATGGTATCACCAATTTGGCCTACAGTGAGAGTCTAGATGGTAACGGGCATTTTCCAGATGTATTTGGCCTCTTGGCTGTATGTATTATTTATTTATGCAGAGGGTGGGGGTGGGTTGCCCCAAGGGAGCCAACCTTTGAGGATCTGCACAATCCTCCCTGTTCCTGGATAGTTCTGGAAGCCCAGATGCAGAATCTACCACACTATACTCTACCCTACCTTGACCACCTCTGTCCCTGATGATACTAAGTCTCTGCATTCTGAGGCCAGGGCCCCACTTTCCCCTACACCCCCACCCCCACCAGCCATGAGCTCCCTCGGCTCCCTCCCACCTTGTCCACCTGCTGGGGGACGTCCTTTCTCTGAGTCCTTGGGAGGGGACCTATGGGATTGACGGCAGGATCAGCCTGCTGAGTCCTCCCACCCAGCCCCCCACCCAACTGTCCCCAGTGGAAAATAATGTCCGCACCAGAGGACTGTTACTGCCAAAATGCCTGTGTGGAATTTCTACCAAGGGGCCATGTTCTGAGCGAGCCCAGATAACAGTGGCGGCCAGGTTGCAGGACGCACTGCCGCCTGAGCCCAGCCCACCCACATGGCTGGTGCTGTCAGTTACACAGATCTGAACACAGTGAGCAGATTCCGACCCCACCCTCAGCTTCCCAAACACAGGCCAGCAGACAGGCCCCACTGACAGGACAGGGCCACCTAAAATTAGCCTTGGCACCTCTGTCCACTTCAGAAATGAACCAAGAGCTGTGGCTGTCCACCCCTACCTCAGGGCAGTCCTCTGAAAGTGTTATTTTTACACTGAGGTTAGGAGAGGCGGGATATCATGGGAAGTTCCTCTGGTCACCAAGTTGTCAGAGTAATCCCTCTTCATGGGCCAATACCAAGCCTGAAAACCCGGTCCCAGATGCTACCTCATCCACTGTCACTCCTGAAGAAGCGGGCCTTTTCAATCAGTGAGACCAATACAATTCAAAAATACTTAGTCTCCCTCTCTTTTCCTCACTTGTCCTATTGTGCAGGGGTAAGGGGAGGGCGGAAGACAAGATGAGAATAGAGGGAAGAAGTGGGAGACTGTTAGGGTGCAGCAGGCACTGTGCATGGTCTCGATCTCTTTATTTTTTTTTTAGATACAGTGGTCTCTGTCACCCAGGCTGGAGTGCAGTGGCAGGATCATAGTTCACTGCAGCCTCAAACCATCCTCCCACCTCAACCTCCAAAGTAATAAACCTCTTTAACTCTTTGTAACAACCAGTGAGAGAGGTTGGGGTTCTTATACCCA